AGAAACTTTCAATGTTGTGTGTCCGACACCATAAAACCTTTGCTTTGAAAAGTTCCTATAAAAAAGCATAGTGCATAGGGCGACATCTTTAGTGAATAGGGCGAGGTAGATGACATCTAGATGTCGCCCTATGTACTACGTTTGCTACAGCGGAAATAGACGACACGCCATTTCTTTAAATAAAATTAATTGGTGCTCGTTTGTATGTACATACATATGTAAATACATGTGTGTGCACCTTTCTATTAATATCGTTGAATTATTTTAATATCTACTGCAAAATTTTATTCAGACATGACTAAAAAGTAGAAAATAAATAATATAAAAAAACTTTTTAATATACAACGCTTTTATAAATGGACTAAAAAGTAGAAAATAATATTTCTCAGTCCCATAGAATTTGTTTTGATAACTTTTGATTTTGAAATTTAGCAAAAGTCATTATAAACAATCTATGAAATTGAAAATGAAAAGCGTGGGGCGCATGTAATACACTTGAATTGATATGAAAAGTAATATATGTATGTATGTATGTGGGTATATGAATAACGACCGCTTAAAATCGATTTCAAAGTTCTACTTTCGCTGTAGAAATTTTAGGTCTACGTTATGTAGTTTGACTATTGTCAATTAAATCGAATGCTTTGTATTGCATGCGCTCCACGTTTTTCATTTTCAATTTCATAGATTGTTTATAATGACTATTGCTAAAATTTCAAAATCAAAAGTTATCAAAACAAATTCTATGGGACTGAGAAATATTATTTTCTACTTTTTAGTCCATTTATAAAAGCGTTGTATATTAAAAAGTTTTGTTTATATTATTTATTTTTATATGAAGTACGCAAAATATATCAAAGAAATACCGTTCGCAAAAGAAAACAAAACGACTTACAATAATAAAAAACAGCTTTGTTAGTGGCTCATTATTTGGATCGTATAATGCTGTTTTTGATTTTTCGTTTTTACCACCATAAAAAAATTTAAAAAGGGGGGACAAAAAATAGCACTTCGTTTGGAAATGACCCGCTTACATATCAA